TCTCTCTCTCTCTCTCTCTCTCTCTCTCTCTCTCTCTCTCTCGCTCTCTCTTTCTTTCTCTCTTTTACTGAAATTGATGTCACAGGCAGCAATGACATTCGGATGAGGCATGAGCTAACAATGTCAGCATGCCCTTACTTGGCTGAAGCTTCAGTCTTCTATACTCTTCTTTGGAGTGCCGGCCACCGAACTGGCTGTAAACCTGCACTGGCCCCTTGTGTTTACCAAAGAGCATTACACCACGTCTGTCTGTGATGTGCAATGCATCCACTATCTTGCAGTTTCATCTATCAAGTTTCTAAAGCTGCACATGCTGATTCACACAGTGCTTCTTATTACCACAGTTGCATTGAATTTGTTTGTTTTAGCTTTGATTTCCTCAATAAAGAATATCAGCTCTAGAATCATATCATGATAGGTTTGAGGGACAGTAGTCCAGGATTTTATGGAGTTTTCCCAGATGAGCAACAAAGGAAAGTGTAAACCTCAACAGGTTTGTCCTTTTCTGTAGAATCTTTCAAATTTAAGACGAACACCAACCACTTTTCTTCACTTCTTGGGAATTTGTTTAATCATATGAAAAGGCTGAGTATGCAAAATAATTATTTCTGTGTGTATGCAAAATTTTGTCTTGTTTGACAAAGTTTTAGAGACTTGTCTTGAACTGCTTTTCTCCCTGTGACTCCACTACCTGCCTCGTTTCTTTTTCGCAATGAAATAAGAAATGCTTCCAAAGAGCCAGTTTCTGCAGCTTTGGATCCTTTTCCTCCCACACTGTCCAGAACAAATTAGTCTGCTGCTCAGATACATTTTTATAGCTTCACCTCACTTCCCATTTTGTGTGTGTGTGTGTGTGTGTGTGTGTGTGTGTGTGTGTGTGTGTGTGTGTGTGTGTGTGTGTAGTATCTTTGTCGGTGCTGTATTGCATACAGAAAGTGTTGGCTAACTGACACAGAAGCTGTGCATTTGTGAGATTGTCACAGAGGTTCACAGACATCAGTGACAGCCTCAGTGACATGGAACTATCTGGACAGAGGCATGTGGAGGCTCATATTTCGCACCAAAACCCGCATACGAGAGGCAAGTGGTTGTTACTTTCACATGTTTGTTCATTTGATGAGAGGTTTACATCTGTGTGTGAGTGTATGTGGCGGCAGGGGATTTGCCTAAAACTTAAAGCAGCTGTTTGTGTGTGGTGTGACCCTTGGGGAGGAGAGGAAGGGGTTTCCTCTGTGAGGGTGGATGTGAAGGTTGTCCCAGCTGTGAAGCGAGAGGAAACGCAGGACAATGGAGGATCTTCCACCTCCTGTAGCCCTCAATCGTAAAAAGTTAGTTTGTCATTTAATTCTGGGAATGCGATCGATGTATAGTCCAGTGCTAATTCAGGTACATTCTTTCTGTTTCAGTCTGTGCATTGCTGCAGGAAACAGTCGTACCAACACAATAAAATTGAAACTGTTAATCAAATCATCACAGGCCACAGAACTAGAAGGAGAGTCATTTTGGTTCAACACAGTCTGCAGATCATGTGCTTTATGTTAAAAAAAAAAAAAAAAAACATTCACTCATTTCTTGGCAATGCCAGCACCTTCATGTAATCAGTCAGATATGCTGGTTGGATTTTAAAATTTCTGTGCAGCAGCCGTTACGCAGAGAAGCTCGGCTCCCCCAGTGTTGACACGTTGGAGCTATCAAGCAGGAAGGAAATGAGATCGGCTCAAGAAAAGAGGAAGCGAGAACCGGGAGGGAAGAGAAGTTTCCTGTGAGGCAACCATCACCACCCTCCTCTGCCTCTCCTCTGTGTGTGTCAGTGAGATGTATCTGCAGGAATTACTTGTGCATTTGAGTGGAATATGTCTGTATTTCTTTAAAAAGGGAGGAAACCTTTGTGATGAAAAATATCTTATTGCAAAACCAAGTGTGTTTTTCAATGTTAACTGCTGCATTCAAATACCCCTTAGAACGAGTCTCATATCACCTGGATAGAGAGGGACTTTGCCAATATTAGAGCCCAGGTAAGCTCTCGCCAACCATTCGTGCTCTGTAGTTGTTTTGTATCAGTCAATCTGCAGCTCCTCCTTTGCTAAACAGGCATTACTGTTGCTTGCTGCTGTGTTTTATCCACTTCAGACTGAAACACTCTTTTGTGTTTTGGGTTTTTTTTTCTCTTTGCCCGCTGAATATTTGATCACAGCAATATTAAAAACCAGCCCTTTTCCGAGCAAAGGCCGCCGCTACACTTCTGTTTGGTCAAAAGAGAAGTTAACTCATGCGTTGTTTTTCCGGGTGTGCTGTGACGGCTACTTCCCAAGCAGCATTTACCGTATGAAGAGGGGGGAGGGGGGAGGGCAGGAATAGACAATTATGAGGCAGTGACTCGTCAGAATCACCTCCACTGTGTTGACAATGAGAGGGGACACATCATCCTCTCTCCACCTCCCTTCCCCTTTCCTCCGACTTAGTTGAATTGTGGGTAAAGGGAAATGGCACAGAGTTGGACCTTTAAATCCAGTCAATTACTGATAACAAATACATTAAGCCATATGTTGCATTCATTTTTTTTTTTTCCCAGAGGAGCAAAGACGCTTTTAAAATTGCTATTTCCACTTCTCTCTTTCACTCTCTTTTTTGTGCTGTTTGAGTTTCAGCCTGCCCTTCTTTCTCTCTTTCTTTTTCGGATGTGTGTGTGTCTGTCTGTCTGTCTGTGTGTGTGTCTCTGTGTCTGTGTGACAAGTTGGGTGCAGGACTGTGAGAATGTGAGCATCCTCTTCCTTCCTGCTTGCTTTCGGTTCCAGCTCACTTCAGCTGAAGTCACTCTTTGAGGACACATCGGTCTGATCAGATCAACACAGAGAGTGAGGACAAGAGAAAATGAAGATGAAGCATTAATATATATATATATATGTAAAGTATAGCAGGAGGTCTCTGCAAAAGAATCAATTGCAGAGGCTGAGAGATTTTTCCCTATTTACCTGCAGTCCACAGAGCTAATCCCAACAAGAGTGCACAAATTAGTCTAAAGTGTGCTCGTGGTGATACGAGGTGAGGTTTGAGATGATTTATGCCAGGTAGTACAGGGTTTGCCTTGTTATGGACGTGGGTAGGATAATAATACTGTTGGGGAAATGCTGAGATGGAGAAGGACAAGAGAAAGTTCAACCTGAGCAGCATGCTGTTCCTCTACCTGTTCAAAAAGAACAAATCCTTGACTGGCAGCCCTGCTCACTGTAACAGCTGCAGATCAACAACTACAACAAGCAATGGCGCCGACACTTTACCTGCACCGGGGAACCAGTGGACGGTAAAGTGACACCTCCTCTTGATAAACTTTGAGCTGTCAGTTTCCAGAGAGCTGCTGTCACTCAGCGTTGTAATTATTATTTTTTTAAGTGAATGAGCAGAATGGTGGTATTTATTAACGCTGCAAAGTTAAGGCCAATCTTTGTGTTTACTGGTATCAGTGGTTGTGTAGAAACAAGTTGCAGCTGAGAGTCTGCAACTAACACTGGTTTCCTGTTGTCAAATAAAGTCCCAGGTTGTAGTGATCTGTGGTGATGGCTGGTGAGGTTTTGATGACACTTTTCTCAGAAGCTAAAAGTGTTTTTATTTTTTGTTTTTTTTGTTTTTTTCTTTTGGTCTTGTTCAGTAATTTTAAAGTTTTAAGTTATTTCATATGGGTTGATCTATAGAATACTGACACTATTGACAAACACTCATCACAAGTTCCACTTCAGGCTGGTAACTGGTCACTGAAAGTTGTTTAGTTTGTTTAAACTAGTCAAAAAAAAAAAAAAAACTGCAAACAAAAATCAGTCATCAGTTTTACTTGATAGATAATGCACATGATGACTTTCACATTAGTCAGTCAGAACCTTATGCACTTTATAAGTGATCATTGCCAACTGCAAAAATCATCAGAGCCTTATTTTGTCTGTTATCTGGTATGTTAATGGGGTATGTTGTATCACATAACTGTTGAGATCAAATTTGAAGAATAAACTGTCGCACAGACTGGATGTCTTACTTTCTCGTTCCACATTTTGAAATTGTGCACCATAACCACCTCCGTACCTCACCGGTAGAAGCAAATAAAAAACACAGTGGTGAATTTATAATACTTTTTGGAGAGTAACTACAGCGTTAAGCCTCACCCGAAGCCCGGGGCATGACACCCGGGGCAGAACTGAGGAAAGCCTCTAGAAAGAAACTTGTCGATGTTGTTGCTGCTTTGATGCTTCTCTGTAGGGTGTAGACTGATTAGATTGTGGTTAAGGCTTCCACGAGGTCAGCAGCAAGTGCTCATATAGTGGTGCTCCACCCTGTGAGGAACCTGTGAAGTTGTCTCTGATCAAAAAGTTAAGGTTGAGGTTATACAGCTTATGTCGAAAAAAGAGAACCACTGCATTATTATGCATTGCACCTTTTTTTTTTAAAGAATGCACCGCTGGTTTACTGATATACTTCAGTGCAATGTTGCAGTCACTATTATTTTCAGAAACTGGCTTTAAGTGTAATCACTCATACTTACCCACACATCTCACTTTTTTTTTACCGTGCTTCCTCTTTCTCAAGTGTTTATTTTGATATAGTGCTATTTACAGCAGGAGACACTCCCACGAAAGAACACAGCAAAACATCTCTGACATTTTCTGACTTTCACAGAATTCTTACAAACATACAGTATTCTCATTGAGCCAGCTGGTTTGTGATCACATTTATTATACTTTCCCTCTATTTTTTTTGTTTTACTCCTTTTTAGGAAGATGGAGACATCAAGGAGATCAACATTACCCATGTGGTCAAAGAGGGCTCAGAGAAGGCTGATGCCTCCCAGTTTGAGCTTCTCAAAGTATTGGGACAGGGATCTTTCGGCAAGGTACTTCTGCCTTCCTCTTTGTCTGACATTGCACATCTTTAGCCTGTTTTTCTCTCACTCCCTAAGCGACACAAATAATCTTCATTTTTAACTGTTTTTTTCTGGTGTTTATTGTGCTCATTGCAGGTGTTCCTGGTGCGAAAGGTGACCCCTCCTGATGCCAACCAGCTCTATGCCATGAAGGTCCTGAAGAAGGCCACACTCAAAGGTACAGAAACCTGCGGTATGCTTGAATGATGTTACCACAGTGGGAGAGTATAACAAGCTACACTATGGTTCCATTAATCTCATAATGTATGTGGAGCATTGCAGTGTAGCAAACCTGCAGCACAGGCAAAAAAAAAAAGTCTGTGAGCTTTTGCTTTGAGACTGTCTTCAGTTTTTGGACCCAGCACAAAGCTCTGATGTCTAACATGTAAAAGCAGAAGTTACCAAGCAACCACCAATTGATACAAATAAATAAATACTGTCACACCTCTGTTTGCAGAGCAGATCTACACAGCACATACACACTGTTTACATGCTGCTCTCAAGCCTTTTACATATATATTTATAGTAGAAGCATAGTGATGGTGCTGCCACTCTGCAAAAAAGTCTGCATGTATGTTTAATGTAGCCACATTGTCCAGATATGGAAGTTTCTGTTACTGAAATCTTTTGTTATGACTACAGCTTGCAGGCTTACACATATGTATGTGTAAGCCTGTTTTTAAACCAGTGCCACTTGCAGAAAAGTTGCTCTGCAGCTGATATGACAAATAAATAAGCAAATAAAATGACATCCTCTCCTGTTTGTACAAATTATTGAGTCTTGTATGTATTTATTTAGTGCTAGTTGATTATTGATGGTTCCTGGTCTTCACAGTTTAAAATGTGTTGCTTCTTTCTGTTTTATCTCTAGGTTTGGGGTTGCAGGTTAGGCAAAACAAGCAATGCATTGCAATCATCATCATTTTTAAAAAGGCTTTCTTTTTGGTTTCCCTTTTATTTGTATCTTTGTTTTTCAATGCATTGTTACCTCAGTTTCATGTCAGAGGGTGTATGCTTTTCCCGTAACTCAACAACAGCTATATACAGTAGTATGTGATACGAAGCCCACCACAGCTTTCAGTGGGTTTTTTTCGTCTTTGCACACAGGTGGTGTGGTGGTCTCATCACCTCATGGTAAACATCAGGGAATCAGATTTATTCACACGGTCTCCAAAAATGATGTGGTTGGTTCTAAATGTGCAGATGTACACCTTTTTTTTTGAAAAAAAAAACCTGAATCAGCATTTATTATGCTGTAGTTCTGGATTAGATCTCCTCACCATTCAGTTAGAAGAGGAGAGCGAACAACAAACACAAATCATCAACATGCTAAAAGCACAACTGTGAATCTTGCTCTGTGCTGTATTTTAAATCCAAAACCAAACACATCTTAAGTCAGACAGCTCCGCTAAGCTCGAATAACAACCAAGAGCTTCCACTGAAACTCAGTGGGACCTCTACAAATTTGAATCAGCAACGTGTTGTATCATTTACTGTGTGGCCAACTTGAAACCATCTATTTTCTTCATGATAATTCACACATGCCATTTCTAGACCACAGTGGGTTGGAGTGTTGGAGGGCTTTTTCACTTTCCTTTTCTATTTTTGAATTTTAAAATTGAATTTATAAGTAATAAAAAGCAGTACCTAAAGTCCATTGCACACTCTTTTTTCTTTTTTTCTTTTTTGAATAATACATACGTGTTCATGACTTAGACACTAAACTCTTGTTCATCTTGTGCATCCATCAGTAAGGGACCGTGTGAGGACGAAGATGGAGAGAGACATCCTGGCCGACGTCAACCACCCATTTGTTGTCAAACTGCACTACGGTGAGTCAACCTGATGCCTTTATGTCCCTTTACTTTCCACGCCAAGATATTATTAATGCATTTTTTTCTACCAGTTTGATTATTTTTTTGAATTGCTTTAAATTCCTTGAACTTTACTCATGCTTCCTGTTTTATCGTTGAATCCAATGAATCTGAAACATGTGTGTCTTTGTAGCTTTCCAGACTGAAGGGAAGTTGTACTTGATCCTTGACTTCCTCAGAGGAGGAGATCTCTTCACTAGACTTTCCAAAGAGGTGAGAGCAGCTCATTAAATTGTGATATTTTGCTGACTTGAGGTCAGGTTTTGTTTTCTTCAAGTCTAGTCATTAATCTTACTTGGCTGACAAATATTTATCAAATTTTTCTCCGTTGTCTCTCTCTTGTGGTTATTCTTCCTCATTATTTTTCATTCTCTCTTTTCCCGTTTCTCACCTCCTCTCTGTACGTGTCTGACGTCTCCCAGGTGATGTTCACAGAGGAGGATGTGAAGTTTTATCTAGCAGAACTGGCATTAGGACTGGACCACCTCCACAGCCTGGGCATCATTTACAGGGACCTCAAACCTGAAAAGTAAGACCTGTACTGTCACTGCAACAGAAATATTCACCCAAAAAACTGCAATATTTCATGAGCTTGGACTGGATTTTTTCGATAACAGCTGTGGAATTATGCTCACACATTTTTGCAGTCTTTTGAGAAAGCTGTTAGTCCTGTCACAAAGCTATGCAAAAAGGTTTTTATTTGAAGTAACCAAGTAAATTATGCACCAGCTGAGAACCTAGACAGCAGAGATGTTTTTGTAATTTAGAGCCTGGAATTGTAACAAGGCTTTCCCGTCATATTAGAAGCTACTCTGTAGTCGCACTTTGTTAGCAGTGTGAAAATTTAGAGTGATCATTACTCACTAAAGTATTTCTCTCTTATATGCACTATGAATGCATTTCTGTTGTGTCATACTTTCGCAAGCTGTTTTAAATGCTGCACCCTGCATGGCACACGTCAGCTTGTGGTCTTCCTCGTCTCTGTTTTAATTGCTGCACTGTTTCTTTTGTGGTACATGACTGCCACCAGCTGTTGAACTTTCTTTCCCAGTGTCTGGACTTTCTCAAGATACAGACGCACTAATCAGACATTACACTACAGTGTTGCTCGTGAACAATTTGTCACGTTTTTACACACTGTGGGCTCATCTGTCACTGCAATATAAAGTCGCACATCTCAACAGAAGCAGAACAACCATGAGTAGAAGTAAAGAGAAGTCAAAAATGCCTTTTAGAAAAAGAAGCTTTATTGTCATTGCACACAACATATAACGAAATTTTAATTGGCATCATCTTTGCAGCAGCTAATATGGTCACATGTCTAAGAAAAAAGTTAAAAGGTGATATAGATAATCAAAGAGCAATAAAAAAATAAAACAAATACAAAATTAAAAGTGCAAAAGAGCATTTGTTAGAATGAGTCTGTAAACTGGGAGTGTCCTGGTTCCTGCAGCAGTCTCTTTTTTTGTGCATGATAGCAAAGTTATATTACGATAAATCATAAAAAGTAAAATTAAAAACTAAAGCTGAATTTGTTAGTTATTTTGCAAATAAATTAAGAACCTGGTTTCAGCATTTACAACATTTTTATACATTACGTTTTTGATCCATTCCATGGATTCCAAACTTGTTTCCTATCGTCTCTGTATATTTACAGCATGTTGTTCAGCCCCGTTCAGCAAAATAGTCCCTGAATTTTTGTCATATGAATGTTGGTCAAGGATCAATCACTCATGGCTCCTTAGTTAGCACTGAGACGCACCATTTTCTTGTTTTCACAAAATCAGGTTACTACATACTGTTTATTTTATTAGCAGATTGTTAATTCTCCTGAGAGAATGGCACAGCACATATGATTAGTTCAGGGACTGTCAGGAAGTTGTAAACCTGTTGAATTTCTCTGTTTTTACAGTTTGTAGATAAATGGTATAATTTGCCTTTGTAATTTGTATAAAATGCCTTTCAAACCCGGTGACATTTTTTTGTTCTTCAGAGGATTGAAGTTATCTTTTTCCATTGATAACCCAGATTAGAGCAGAGCAAGGCTGTGCCACTGATAAAGTGACATTTAAAGCACATGTCTTGATGAGCAAAAAGTTCAAACCCTCTAAGACCTTCTCATTATTCTAACATTTAATACCGTTTCCTTCTAGCATTCTCCTGGATGAGGAGGGACATATCAAACTCACAGGTGAGCCTCCTGTTCTTTTACATCCTAATTCCTCCATGGGGGACACACACTCTTTCCTCTCCTCCACCTCATTGACCTCCATTACTCACAGCAAGGTGACAGCCTTATCTTGCAGGTGCAGACGTCTGCATACGGGCCTATGTATGTTCCCCGAGTTAATTATCACACTTTATCTTATGGTCATCAATGATAACCACCATTTATTTACCCTGAGGGGCCTGCTGCAAACCAAAGTTGACCTGAGGAGAATCTAGACAGGCAATATATAAGTCACTCTGATGAAACTCAAGAGGGACAAAGATTAAGTGTTGTTACAGCGAGTTCTTTTGCTTTTTTAAAGCAAATTCACAAAACATCTTTATCACATCAAACACTGTTTTATGTTTTGTGGCCTGTTTTCCAGATTTTGGCTTGTGTAAAGAAGCCATTGATCACGAGAAGAAAGCTTATTCCTTCTGTGGTACTGTGGAGTACATGGCACCAGAAGTTGTTAACAGGCAGGGACACACCCACAGCGCCGACTGGTGGTCATTCGGGGTACTAATGGTAAGGGGGGGGGAATATCAATTTTAACTAAATTTCAAGCAAACAGTAAATATTCTTCTTCACTGATGGATCGAGGGATAAAGATTTGTATGTTTTCTCTCCCAGTTTGAGATGTTGACAGGATCGCTGCCGTTTCAAGGGAAGGACCGCAAAGAGACCATGAATCTGATTCTGAAGTGAGTACCATCTGGGTGTAAGAGCAGTTCAACCATGAAGCCTATTGTCACATACTGGAGCTGTTCATAAATGTCTCACCCAGTGTCTGCTACCACAATTAAAGCTGTGCGCCATCTGTCTCTCTCTGCAGGGCGCGTCTAGGAATGCCTCAGTTTTTAAGTGCAGAGGCCCAATCTCTTCTCAGGGCTTTGTTCAAGAGGAACCCTGCCAACAGACTGGGTCAGTATCAACTCTCCAACACGACTTTCACAGATGGAAGACTGTAGTCCATTCGATATATTTTCATTTTCTGTTTGAGATCGAGTCTGTTAAATGTTAATGTTTTGCTCACAGGATCTGGTGCTGACGGTGCCGAGGAGATTAAGCGGCATGGTTTCTTTTCTACCATCGACTGGAATGTAAGGACTTTGAAATATGTGCACTGTAAAAAAACAAAATGCAATTTTTAGAGGAGCTGTCACAGATGGTGTTCAGAACTGTACAGTGTGAGTATAGGCCCTTTATTCCTTTCAGAAACTCTTCCGAAAAGAAGTAAAGCCTCCATTCAGACCAGCGGTAGCACGTCCGGATGACACCTTCTACTTTGACTCTGAGTTCACTTCCCGCACACCTAAAGGTCAGGTGCCAAAGACACAAGTTCTTCTGATTGTTCTAATAGTTGATTCCATGTCTTTCCTGTCCAATCGAAAGCATTGTAACAGTATCTGTGGTGTTGTATTAAATCTCCCTTTAAGCTTAAAAACAAATCAATACGGGACATTGTTGATTTAAAAGAGACACAGCGGTGTTTACAGCAACATTAAGATGCAATAAAGCTTTATTATAGCAATGCTCATAAAAAAAAAATACTTATGCTTTAAAGTGTTTTCAGCCGTGACTTCTTTCGAACATGGACTTCCAAGGCACAGACTTCCAGTTTTACCAGAGTTTCATTATTATCTTGCAGACTCACCCGGTGTGCCGCCCAGTGCCGGAGCCCACCAGCTCTTTAGAGGCTTCAGCTTCGTCGCGTCAACTATGTTGGAGGAGGAAGGTTTAGTGCAGCCAGTGCAGCCTCCACCGCATCCAGTGGTCCAGGTCAGCTGTTTGTCTCTCAAGGGACATTGCTGTTAATGTTAAGTTTGCTTTTGAAGCAAAGTGTTAAGAATAATTGGAAAAATAAGTTGTCCATTTAATATATTTAATGATTTTCCTACAATTTTGGTGTTGGAGTTATTATTAGGTATAGAACATAGTGATTTATAGCTTTGCAACAGTTTACAACAGGTATTTCAGTACACATCAGTGTCGATTTAGAGCAGTTCTGTGTGCTTACTGATGATAATATGAAAGAGGAGGGCAAGAAAGACAATTTGAATATGTAAGGTGTGTGAGGCAGACAGGAACGAGAAGAGAATAAAATGACTCAAAAGTGGTACACGGCTTCAGATCCTGTTTCATGCTGGCAGAAGCCGTAATTACCTGCGTGTGGCAGATTGCGAGAGACAGTTAGACAGAGAAAGAGAGTGTTTCTAGAAATAGATCCTTCCTGAAAACCATCAGCAGCCCTCCACCTCTTCAGCTCTGTCAGTCTGTTGTACCTCTGCCACTCTTCAAATTTCAACTCTTCCTCCGCAGCAATTACACGGGAAGAACCTGCTGTTCAGCGATGGCTATGTACTGAAGGAAGACATCGGCATGGGCTCTTTCTCTGTCTGTAAACGGTGTGTCCACAAAGCTACCAACACTGAATATGCTGTCAAGGTATGCACATGCACACACGTGACACCCACCCAAAACTGCAGCCACAGTACAACAAAACCCAGCAAATTTGCATACATTTTTAGCAGTAGTTCAACGATGTTTTAATTTTAAACATCAGCATGAAATTGAATAAGTCACAGCTGCTGCCAGTGAGAGGGTAGCCATGCTTAGCATGGTGATCTTAAATTCACAATGACTCCTATAACTCTGAATTTACTATGATGGAATAACATGAAACAGGCGTCTTTGTCACAAAAAAAATAAATAAATTGGTTGTTTTCGCAGATTTCTTATAGGTCCTCTGGAAATATGAAATATGGTTCAGCTACTTCTCGTAGTTTCCTCTCAGACCACTTAAATTACAATATGTCAAAGAGGTTATTATTACTTCCTCTCCCCCGTGATGCCAAAAAATGCCTGCCTACTCCAGCTTTAAGGAAATATACCAAATTGTAGGGAATCTTATTAGTATTTTACAATCTAGATAAGAATCTCTACTCATTAAATCTAAAATTTTGAGTTGTAGATATATTTTAAAGAGTGAAGCAGTTTTCTTGCCAATTTTCAATTCTTAAAACCGGACTATAATGTAATTTTGTGTTATTTTTGTGACTGACAGATGATTGACAAGACCAGTACAGACCCTTCTGAGGAGATTGAGATTCTGCTCAGATATGGACAGCACCCCAACATCATTACCCTAAAGGATGTGAGTTGACAGATGCTCTTATATCACACCATTATCATTTGCCCTCGGATATTGAGTGAAATAAGCATCGCTGCCGGTGACGCTTTAAAACGTGTTTCTGTGTCAGGTGTATGACAATGGTAAGCAGGTGTTCCTGGTGACGGAGCTGATGCGTGGAGGAGAGCTGCTGGATCGGATCCTCAAGCAGAAGTTCTTTTCGGAGAGAGAAGCCAGTGCTGTGCTTCACACCATCACCAAGACCGCAGAATACCTCCACTCACAGGGGGTGAGGACAGCTGACACTAATCATACACGGCCTGTTAGAGCACTTAGATGTGCCAATTTATTGAGTTTCAATATGTTTGTATTGACTTTATTGACAATAGTCCAATTTCTGTCTGAGATAGCTGTTGTCTTATGGGTCATCATTGATTCCCTTTTTTTTCCATTTTTTTCATTTTAAATAATCTAGTAATTCATTGATGTTACTCTTAAATATTGAGAAAAGTTATTAAATAATATTTGGGGAAACAAAAATAATCTGAAAAGACAATATGCAATGCACCACTCTGTGTTAAGAATTTATTGTTTTTGTATTTACTTGGAGTTGCATACAGTATTCACCAAACACATCATGATACAGAAGTCAGACATAAAATCTGGTTGAAATGAGTTTAACATTAACATTTTTTATTAAATTAACCTCTTGATTATCATTTATATTGTGTTGTTCTGTTATATTTTTTCACCCAGTGGTATCTCTAATTACTTTACTGTATTATTTTTTCCTTATTTTATTTCTTCCTCTTGTTTTTCAGGTGGTGCACAGAGACCTGAAGCCCAGTAACATCCTCTATGTTGATGAGTCAGGGAATCCTGAGTCAATCAGAATCTGTGACTTTGGCTTCGCTAAGCAGCTGCGTGCCAACAATGGCCTGCTGATGACTCCATGCTACACTGCTAACTTTGTCGCTCCTGAGGTGAGCAGGTCACACACATTTAGTGTCACCCTTGTAACAGTGAAGACTGGAGTCCATCCATCCATCCATTATATATACACAGCTTAATCCTCACTAAGGTCGCGGGAGGCTGGAGCCTGTCCCAGGTGACTCAGGGTGAAGGCAGGGGACACCCTGGACAGGTCACCAGTCTATTGCAGGGCTACACTTAGAGACAGAAAACCAAGCACACTCACATTCACACCTATGGACAATTTAGAATCACCAATTAACCTCAACATGTTTTTGGACTGTGTGGGAGGAAGCTGGAGAACCCAGAGAGAACCCACGCTGCACGGGGAGAACTGAATTCAGTTCAATTCAATTTTATTCGTATAGCGCAGTTTACAACACATGTTATGACAGAGCGCGTAACAAAGTAAGGTATAGACCTTACAAAAAAGAACATTCAAACTCCATGCAGAAAGATCCCAGGTGTCCTCACCGAGATGCAACCAGTGAACTTCTTGAGCAATGATGCTAACCACCTTGCAGCCCAAGACTGGAGTCTCTAAATCGAATTTGATTAAATGAAAATCCAATGTGGTTCAATGTTACTCTGTCGTAGGTGTTGAAGCGTCAGGGCTACGATGAGGGATGTGATATCTGGAGTCTGGGAGTCCTACTCTACACCATGCTGGCAGGGTGAATACCAACACTCAAATTCCTCTCTTGAATGTATTTTTTTCTTTCTTGATACTCTTTCTTTTATTCTGTTGTCTAATTACTTTTACCAGTTTCACTCCATTTGCCAACGGACCTGAGGACACCCCCAATGAGATCCTGAACAGGATAGGCAACGGTCACTTCAGTCTGACTGGAGGCAACTGGGACACTGTGTCTGATGCTGCCAAGGTAGAACTCCAAATCTATCTGACAGCTCCTTCTCTCTAGTTCCCTACAGCTAATTTTGGTCTCTTTTAGTTACATTATCAGTTTTCATATTTTATTCGGCTTCTTCTAGGATCTTGTGTCCAAGATGCTTCACGTGGACCCCCATCAGAGACTGACTGCTAAGCAGGTTCTCAAACACCCCTGGATCATCCAGAGAGACAAACTACCCAACAGCCAGCTTCCACACCAGGACCCCAAACTGGTGAAGGTAAAAGAACTGAGTCCATTCTCTAAATATAATATTTATCATCTCACAAGTGGTTATAATTGAATAAAGCCTGGATTCAATTCAAATCAGTTAGAGTCAACTCAAAATTGCTAAAGAAAACATGTAATTTAACCCTCTGAACTCCAAAACCAACCAGTAGATTGAAACAATTGGCAAAATCACACCATTTATCACTTAGAAACTGTAAAAACCGAATAAAATCATTCGATTTTTAACTTTCTGATGATCCATTAACTGTTGATCTGTGACATACTGTTCTGTTGGGAAAATTAATCAAATCTGAGTAGAAAATTATGACGTTTTATCAAAATCACTTTACATGCGACATGTCTCATCCATTGTCTATACACCACTTAATCCTTACTAGGGTCGCAAGAGGGCTGGAGTCTATCCCAGCCGACTTAGGGCGAAGGCAGGGGACACCCTGGACAGGTCACCAGTCTGTTGCAGGGCTACACTTAGAGAAAGACAACCAAGCACACTCACATTCACACCTGTGGACAATTTAGAATTTGTAATAGGACAAATGGTATAAAGTTGTTAGCGTTAGTGACGTGTCTTTATCAGCTGTTGTTCCTAGGTGTGGCCAATCTGACAGAACCAGTGGGTGTGTCAGTTTGGCCACACCTACCGCCGCGTGGTGGCCTGTGGAGCAGAGCGTCCCAGGTGTGGGATAGAAGGAACGCTCCATCATCTCTATTGATTGTGTGAGAGCCTCGCTTCCTGATTTCAATGGCCTCCTGGATCCAGCACCTGTATTTGTGCTCCTCAATATTGAGGAGCACAAATACAGGCTCTAGAGGCCACCGCGCGGCAGCCGGTGTGGCCAAATTGACACACCCACTGGAGATTGGCCACACCTAGGAACAACAAGTGATTAAGACACGTTACACACGTCAGATGACACTTCTGAAGAAGACGCCAAAACATGTCAAGGTACAGCTAACAACTTTAAACCATTTGTCCTATTACAAAGAAATCCTTAAGCCCTTGCTACCAACTGCGCCACCTTGCAGCCCTTGCCTGAACCAGATTCTGTAAATACCTGTACCTTGTGCATTCCTCAGTGCAACTGTGAAGCCATTCGTGACTCAGCTGCAACCAACAGTCACATGACAAAAAAAAAATCAGAAACTTCCTCAACTGAACTGCAGGCTGTGTTTCTATACAGAGACAATTATGGAAGTAAATTTAAAGTATAAATATTTAAGTATTTTTAGCATGTGGTGCCACCATTTTGTTACATCCATGGCAATTTTAGTTTTTTCAGTTTTTGTAAAATAAATTCAGGGAATTTTAATGATTTATGAAATTATAACTTTGTTATGCTGCACAGATAAAGGCATTTTTGAGTTTCATTTACCTTTAGCCATGGTTGTGCTGTTTCTATAGAGACGTGAGGCTTTATATTGCAATGAAAAATAAGTCCACACTGAGTAAAAATATGACGGAAGCAAAAATAGCACAGAAAAATGCTTGGGGTTCAGAGGTTTAAGGTGTATTCAAAGTATCAAATGTAGCTTTTCTTTTGGTTTCATATAACTATGCATATACTTTTCTGGCTTTTTATACTGCATTGCTGATAGAGTACAGTGCATGGTTATTTGTAACTGTCAGCTGAATACCATCATTTTTCATACCCATATCTTGGCTGCAATCATCATGCTCCTTCTTACATACAGGGTGCAATGGCAGCCACCTACTCCGCCCTGAAGAACTCCCAACCCACTCCAGAGCTCAAGCCCATTGAGAGTTCCTTCTTAGCTCAGAGGCGCGTCAAGAAGCTTCCCTCAACCTCTCTGTAGAGACTCAAAAACAGCCAATCAGCTCACTGAAGTCTGATCAGAACCACACCTCTTGGCTCCAAACCACCCAGTCAGCTTGCTCAAGGACTTAACTGTCCACCCGCCAATACCAGCCAAGGAACACTGACTGTGGTCCTGCCCCCATCTTGTGACGCTAGTAGTCCTGCTCTTGCTATCAACATCCTTGTGTGGGCTCATCAGCTGCTGTTAGCCAATCTGTTTGGACTAGCAAAAAAAAGAAAAAAAGAAAAAAAAATCCTGAAGATGGATGGGGGCGACGAGAGCCAAAAAATGTAAAAAAATAAAATACTGGGTGTAGGTTTTTGGCAGATGTATTAGTGCCGTGTGAGTGTATGTGCGAGTGTGTGAGCGTATTCGTGCATGACCTGCCACAGTCGATGCAGCCATGTTTTTTGATAGTGACAATGAAAGTTTTTCTCTCCTTATCATTGCTGTTATCGGTTGTCATTCTTGCTGCACGCATGTCCATCTGCCTGTTCCGTCATCTGTCCTCCTGCTCTTTTTGTAGAGTTGATGAGCTTTATATTATCAGCTGTGTTGACAAATCAACCTGTGCCGACAGCACAATAACCACAGTACTGTCCAACTGCTGTTAAATGTTTTTCAGAGAGCATTGTTAATATAAATATTAAACATTTCTGCCATAAATGCCTCTTTGGCTTTGGTACAGCCAGAATACACAGATTTTGGGAAATGTCAAAATGCTGATGTTGATGATGCAAAATGTTTTTTTTGGTTAATGTCAAACTATGCTTGTATTTTGTTTTTGCGTGCGTGCGTGTGTGCGTGCGTGCGTGTGTGTGTGTGTGTGTCTGTGTGTGTGTGTGTGTGTGTGTGTGTGTGTGTCAGTTGCATGACTTGCAGTGTGTGTCTGTAATGTGATGCTGCAGAGTCATGTACATGGTCCGGTGATGTGATGATGTCATGTGGCTTCCTTGTTTCGCTCCTCTCCCTTTTCTCTGCTTGGTCAATCTGCTGGCAACCATTTGAGATGTCTATTATTTTTATTACTATAAAAACTAGTAAACATAGGTGGCTTTCTGTGAAAGAAAATCTGCCCAAGGAACAATGTGGCATGTTAAAATTCAATATTTGCTTTTTTTTTTTTTTCTTGTTTTTTTTTTTTGTTTCAATGTGTTTCTTGAAAAATGCATATTGAATGCTGTTTTCTGTGTTGGCTGCTTTTGTTGTTTGTTTTTGTTTTTGTTTTTGTCCAAAGAAAGTGGTGATTTAAAATAGTGAAAGACATGCTGGACACACCACAGCCTGTGGACTTAATGCCGTACAGGTCTCTTCTCCTTCTTCTGTAGGGCTGACTGTTGTCTGTAGGGAATTAAGCACTCAAACGCAGCTTCTCTTCTCCCTTAAAATCTCTGTCAAATCACTGGTTGGTAATATCACACAGACCTGCCCTCATTGTGGAGTATCTTTGACATTCATGATATTTGAATTCCATAGATTCTCTTGATTATATGACTTGTTTACATTTTATTGACACTGAATTTGAGACCTCTGAAAGAAGGGTAAATGTGTCTCATTGTAAGTCGCTTCATAGGGTAGGTCTTGCTTTCAGCTCAGTGCCTAGGCCTACAGGTGAGGCAGAATGTCTTGCAAGGACAACACGTGAATTAAAAAAAAAAAAAAAAAAAGAACGGCCAGAAGATTACTGTACATGTGTTGAAGGAAAGACCTGAGTGGCTGAATAATCTATGAACCAGCTGTCTTACCTCATAAAGGGATCAAAGTTATATTCTAATTCTTGTTTGGTGGCAAAACTCTCCCTCCTTTGACTAAATTTATGGTAAGATGTTATTGTATGATAAAGATGAAGATTTTTATATCTTACAATATTAAAAATTGAGTTGCTATGACAAACTGTCTGTCTTGTTTTTTAATTTTGCCTTTGCAGGGGAACTCAGATGACCTTGCACCTCTACGAAGTGAAAAAATTCACAATTCACAGATTAAAAAATGTTCAAAATTGATCCATCAGAGGCTCAGATATTCTGACAATTAAAGTCTCTCTCTGGTCATTGATTAAACCCCTAAAAGCTCATCTCTGGGGTTTAAAGTTACACATGTAGAAGTTTTTTCCCCATGAAAATAATACCTTCCTATCTTAAAATGACTTAGATGTAACACAACACTGTTGCATCCCCTCGAATGCATAAATCTATAAAGTCCCCGCCTGCCTCTCCACTCACTGCAGCTGGAGCTCAGTAGCTAGCTCCGCTCAAACACTGTAAAACTACTGTTCTGTACTGTACTGCAGAAGGTTGCAGTATTGGAGAATTTGTCAGTTCTGAAGGATAATAATGAGAACAGAAAGCCCCACTCTGTAAGTTAACAGGATTAGTCCTTATGAAACCCCAGAAGTCTGCATCTGTGTTTTTGAGACTGTCATTGGTACACTGCAGTTTCATGGTGGAACTACTCAGTCATGGTGGCGACTGCTTATTTTGCTCATGACATATCTTCTAGCATAAAAAATACACCATTTGGGTATACAGCTAAAGACTTGATTTTCTTTAAAAGGGCACTTTATTTTATTTGATCCTTTATCCTTGTTGGTGCTCACAGTTGCCTTTTCCTGTTCTTTCTTGTTACACAAGCTTTCTCTTAAAGACTGAGTTTTGAAAGCCTCAGAAAAGACATGACACTGACAGACTGAGCAGCTCTTCTCATAAATAATGACCTTATCGGTATGCACACAGTTAGCGGAATCCATAAAGTACTTTTCAGAGAAATGAAAACAACATGTTTCATAACATGATTCTAAACAGTTCCATATAGTAAAGAAGAGAACAATAAATCAGCACGAGTTGTCCACAGATACTCTGTGGGTATCAAAATGGGTATCTGGAGGAACTGTGCTGGATTGATGCCTCCCTGCTGTGGAGGGTATCTGACTTCCAGCTCCTGTCTTCCTTGGAGCCTAGAGCCTGGTGTCCTTCCACAGATGGTCACTGGAGGGAGGTAAAGTGCAAGCTTGTTTTTATGCATATCAATCCAGGCCCTACTGGTTAAACACATTTCTGTCTCAGCACTCAGTACTGACCAACAGTGATGTTGTAGTCTCTTTTTATTGTACATTGAACAGTTGTGTTGCCTTTTTGTGTGTTAACATACTGAATTTTACATTTTGACAATTTGTGCCCTCTGATAAAATGTACTGAGTGGTGTTGGTGTGTATCCACAATCAGATGCATCCATGGTAAATACATTGATTTGTATTTATACCTGCACACTGGGGACAACTTACAGAGGTTATATGTGAATGACTTTCTTCTTCACTGCCTCTCGATTTGGCTTTCTTTGCCTGTAGCACTGTGCTTGTCATGTTGTTCCATCTTCTCCTCCTCTTTTTCATGCGCTGTCACTTTAACACCGTGAGGACTTGCAGCAGATTCTGTTTTGCTATGAGTGTGATCTCATAGTATCACCAAGTACTTCTACCTGCTGTTACCTGCCTCGATGCGACTGCAGAACTCACTTACATAACAGACACAAAGCAACTGTAGCTCATAACTGTGGGAGTGCAGGTCAGTTGCAATCTACTGAGAAAAATGATGCTGAGAAGATGTGCGCCATCATATCTGAGATAAATCCATTAATTCATGCAAAGACGCACATGGATGCCTTGATATGTTCCCACTGAGTTCTGTTGTTTGTGCTTTGACGTCATTGTGCTGGTAAATCACTCTGCAATTAATGACTTCCTGCTCTTTCACACATACACACACAGACTCACACACAGACTGACTGACTGACTCAGCCTTCGGCAGCAGAAAGAGGCAACTGATATTGATTACAGAACAGTGGAAAACCAGCATCATCTGTCTCCTATCTCGGAAGAGAAGTAAGTGGTGCAGTTTTTATCCAGGTCCTGTCTCCTCAGTTTACAGCAGCTGTCAGCTGGAGCAACTCTGCTTAAATGCTGAATTTTGGGGGGTTTTGACAACAGTGGGAGTGTGTGTGGGGGTGTATGTGAGAGTGGAGCCTGAAAAAGGACACTGTCTAGGGCTGAATATTTTAGTAACACTTCTTATTGATTGTGTTTTTTGTTTTTTTTTGGTTGTTCTGGCTGATGTGCTGCCCATAGAATCATTGATCAATTACTGTCCTATAATGTTTAACCATCTTGTTTTCTTCTCCTTAAATTCAAGATAAGATGTGTTCTAAATTTCACTTAAAATGTCAGTGGATAAGAGTTGTCTGTTAGTGACATTTACAGCTTCTGTGACTACAGTAAATTTACTTGACCCACAGTAAAAATAATAATCCAAAAAAATAATCCCCCCCCCACACACACACACACACACACACACAAAAACATTCAGTTTTATGTTTGCACATACTGAAGTATGTGTGTTGCAGCTGTTTCTCCATCCTCGCCTCTGCTGGTCAGACTTTATTTATTCAAACCAGATTATGTAATAGTTTCAGTCTAATACTGTTAAGTACCCCACTACACTCCACTACACACAGCTGAGAGGAACCCAAAATACTCAGAGTCATTTTAACCTAAGACAGATCAGTTAGTGAGAAGGCACACAGATGCTCTCTCTCCTCATGTGCACGCACAAAATACAAACACACGACGCAGATTAAAGTAATCTGGAACAGAGGGTGCCGAATGGGAGATTGAGAACAGACTTTCATCACAATTTTAGTTATAATGGTGGAGAAGCGAGACTGATGAAAAACGGTGGTAAGAGATAATTGCATTTTGGGGGGACTTGGCATTTAAACATAATTAATTCTGCACACTCAGTGACTGCTCGTGTGCTCGTGAATGTAGGAAAACTGTGTTTTACTTTGTCACAGAGGGGTTTTGTTGTTTAAGCATCCTCCTGTTTGCATGCAGGCTAAGTCTTGCTGCTCAAGGAGTTTACCAATGATGATGGCAATCTGTGTGTGCAGCACTGTAAGCACCACATGGGATTAGTTTAGAGTGAGGAGTTTTAACTGGGGAATGTTGCGCAACTAATACAGTCTTCCAAAAATGGGGATAAAAAAAAAACTCCACTGAAGCATCTTGTCTTGATCCCTGGAAGCTGTACTTATTCAATACGTTATGTTTATAGTGTACAACTGTATAAACATGAGAGTAATTGTGCAGCACATACAAGTAAAGCCGCACTAAGGCTGCACCATGTCGTGTTTCATATACATAGTTTAAAATTATGCAAATAGATTCAACATGTAAGTATCATAACTTTTTGATAATTAAGAAATGTGTAGATTTCACTCTGTCAGCATAATATATTCTTATTTATTTTATTTTGGACCTTTGCCAGCAGAATTTCATGCTGCTTTTTATTGTAAATTTTTTTTGCAAAGACCTTTCTTATTTCTGGCTTCTTGACTGAACACCTCAAAATCATCTTCAGGATTTTCTTTTATTCTTTCCACTGGCACATAATGTCCAGTCTCCTGCCTTTCTTCCTTTTGCTTCCCCCTCTTAGTAATTTTCTGCGTTTCTCCCTCTTCTCTCTAGAGATCAGTAAAGCTAAAAGCGGAAAGGGAGCAGACAGAGCTACTGCTAATGCAATGCCAATCTTGAGATAAAAGCTAAGTGAATACTCCAGTATGCAAGCGCATGGATACTCACACACGTGCACCCACCTCTGACCCGCTAAAAGCTTCAGTTGTTTTGATTCAGCAGAGGGCAGGTATTAAGACATCACTTCTTAGGGCTCCAAATGCATTTGAGGGAACTTATTCTGTGTCTTTTTTTACATACTCTGATCATGTCATTTCTCGACTGGATATTACAGCAAGAAGAAAAAAGTCGAGGTATTCAAGGATCATGACGATCTAACCACATACACACACATCAGTTGAAATTGGTAGACACTGGTCATTAGTTTCTGAAATGACGAGGTGATTGAACTAGTAAAGACAGGTGCACCTGTTCACCCGCTTAGGACTTTGTTTCCAGGATGAGGTGTTTAAGCATCGGAATAAAACACATAGCAGCAGTTACTGTTTAAGTTTAAATGCTCCAAAAAAATCCAAACTAGTTAATATTGCCTTTTTGGTTCTATTTTGATACAATTCACTTGTGCACCATTGGAAAGGTGTTGATGCACATTGTTCTGATGCTCTCAACTGCAAGTAACATATATAAATAATTGGATTAAAGAGCAAGATGCATGTTTTTAATTACACTCAGAGGTATTTTCAGTGAGAATATTTTTTAATATACCTGGTATGAGATTTTGCTAACACACTTGGGCCAGATACTGTGTGAATTACTTACTTAAGTCTAGTTCACTTCCAGCAGTGAGTCTTCATTACCTAAGGAATCTCTCTCTCTTTTTTTTAATAGGGAGAATCTTGCTTTTTCATTTGTGTTTTTGGATTTCACAGACAGAAGATATCTATAGAATTTGCAAGAAGACTGCACACTGTCAAATGGGTTAAAAAAAAGAGAGAAAACATAAGAGAAGAGTGCTGAGAAATGGTGATACTGCTCAGCAGCAAGGTGATAAACAGAGAGAGAGAAACTGGAACATCACCCCTCCCTCCTGCTTTTGCCATTTGATTTCAAGGTGGTGTTGCTAGGGGCAACCATTTGAGCAAGAGAACGGGAGAAGGAGGAAAATGGATGGACCAGCTGGTAGGAGAGATGGCAGCAGAGAGGCTGGGGAGAACAGAAAGTGAGTGAGACAGCATCACCAAGACGAGAGACCCGATACATCTGCATTGCTTTTCCTCATTGTGCCGCACTTGACCAAGCAGAGCTGATCAAAGCAGAGGATGACAACGAAGCAAAACAGTCAAGCGGAGGACACAACAGCCTGCCAGCATCAGCAGCAGAGAAGGAGGGCTGCCCAATCATCAGCTGACATGCTCATGAGTTCAGCGGCCAATGAAATGCCAGGAGGCACCCTCCCCAACACAACCACTCAGACGCAGAGACAGCACAAGCCTGGCTCAGATCTCTTATTAATGAATGGAGCCGTTCCCAGGCTACATCACTGCACATCTCTGCACTCTCTGCTCAGCTGCTCTCTGCTCTGAACACGGGAAAACGAGGGGAAAGCACCAACAGTGACAGGAAGGACAGCAGTATTCAACACCGGCTATGAAGCGACGACAAAGAAGCACAGAAACCCACAATGAGGACACAACTGAGGACATGGCAGCAGCTATTAAAAGCACGGACTCGCATCCTGATCTCCACCCACTGGACTCGTCACCTCCATCATCACCATCTTCTCCCCCTCTCCCTCCATTAGCCATGCCAGCTTCTACATCTGCCACGGCTCTCCTGGCACTGGCATGTCCAACCACCAGGCGATCCATTTCGATGGGAGACTTCCGGAGGGTGACAGGGGCGTTACCAGCTGGTTCTGAACCCCCATCCACGTCCGCCACTGCCCCCTCTTCCAAACTCGTCACCCCCAGCTCCAGCATGGAGTTCGAGGCGGCCCGAAGGCGCCTCCTGGAGGTGGAGGAGCGTCAACGTGTCATCAGAGAGATGGAGCGTCGGCTGGAGGAGCTCAGGGAGGTGTTTGTGCGCTCGGAGCAGGAGGTGGTGGTTCATGGGGAGCTGGTGTCGCGGATATCTAGTGCAGCCCAGCAGGGGGAGCTGTACGTGGCAGAGAACAGCCAACGGCTGAAGAAAGGCATGAGGTTCAAGAAACACCGACCCACCATCGTCTTTTCCTCCATGCTTGGACTTCGCACATGCCTCCCCTGGCCTGTGAAGCTCAAATAAGACAGTAGAGGCTTCTATTTCATCCATCACTTTAGAAACGTGCTTTATATAACTGGGAGGATAGGCTCCCATTCTTTAGCTATCACTCATTGACATGGCTGCTCTCCAGGTTCCACCATTCTGCTCTTGTATCCAGAGGCTGGTCCTCAAGGGCTTTAGAGTGCCTACAATAATCACACATGCTAGTAAGGAGCTGCCCATTCAGTGCAGTTCAGAGGAAATTCTCTGGTTAGAAAAAAACAATCGAGCCAGAATCAGTGCAATGTGTACAGGATGTCATTATATCTTCATTGTTTTTACAGATGCATTGCTGCTTGCGGTTTGATGTGGGGTTGGACTTGCATACATGGTGCATGGATGAGTCATTTTTCAGGTGATGTGGGAGGAGAGGTTCAGACTGGCCTGTGAGGTATCGAGCTCTTTGTTGTATTTTCCTTAACTTGCGCGGCAATGCACAAAAAGCTGATGAGGATTATGTAACGTTAACCTTCTCAGAGGAGGGAGAGGAAAAGAGTGAGTGAGATGGCAAAAAATAAAATAAAACATAATGATGGCGAGATGGATGAAGGCTAGGCATTGAACAATCAGCCATTAAGACAGGAGTGAAGGACGGGGAAGGAGAGGTCAAGCTAAAGATTGCTGCACCATTATATAAAACCAAGAATGCAGTAACAGGAAAAGGTGGTGGAGTCTGAAAAAGAGATTTTGCACAAATTGTGGAGCTGAATTGGTTGATATATACAGAGAAAACGTGCCTTGGCTCCTCTGAGACCACTTGTCCACTATTCACAGCATCTGTTTTGACAGCATAAACAAGGAAAGATATTCACCTGTGGCCTCCTTCCTATCCAGTCACCTAGCAACTGCTCATCTTCTTATCCGAAATCCGCTTCTGCAAACATACAGAATGTATCCAGCGGAGTGCTGTAACTACAGCACGATGAGACAGCTGTAGAGATCCCCCTGAAGGATTAGGAGCTAGTATTAATTTTGGCTGCATTAATTTACAAATTAGAACTGCCTGTGTAGAAAAAAACATAATTAATGGAGGATTGTTGTGACATTTATTTGATGACTTAGATTAAGTCATGCATGCATCGGCAAGGAAAGCAAGGGTAGGTCATCACTATTTGGTGTTGTATGTGACAATAGCAAGATAGTTAGAGTTGCACCTTTGCCTCTTAGAATGCAACCAGCATCTACTACAGCCTCATTGGAATCATTTCACTCTGCTCATCTTTTCATGGCACGAGAAAGTTACACACTATGGTTTTAATCAGCGTTTGTTTGTGTGATTTATTCCGGTTATTCTGAGAAGCCAACTAGTAATTATGTTGTTATCCTTCAAGCACAGCAAGATTTTTGTCCCATATGTAGAAGATGGCCTAATTTTCACACTTGTTTTTGCCCTAATTCTATTTCCCTCCCTCCCGTTTCTCCTCTCTTTAGATTAAGAAATGACGAAGTATCCCCTGTATCCATCTATTCCACCAATCCTTTGCTTCAGCTGTATTCGTGTGCACAGAAGGCACCGCCAATACACCAGGGATGTCTATTTTTGCTATTTGAAGGTTATGGCAGAGAGACAGGATATTCAATCTCAGCGCAGCGTTTGTAGGAAAAAGCATGTATAGAGACCAGAGTGGAAGAGGAATAAGGATTTCTGCAAGTCCCTGATGGTGCTTTGTTTGCTCTCCTATCTATTAATGACCTCACTGGAGAACAAAGGAGACAGGCTGTTTACAAGAGCGATACATAATATGACTGTATAATTACTTGCTGCAGGTTTCCATAGAATCCTCATGTGCACTGAGGTGTTCCAGTTGTAACTGTTCCCTTAGGAGAAAGGTACACATGATTGAAAAAAATGTTGCTATATGCTTTTGAGATGCATTAGAAACCTGTTTTTGTCTCTGTTGAGTCATAAATGGCAGGAGGAAATACTGATGAATTGTCCTGAGAGCAGGCTGCCTGCACCAGAGACCCTGCAGGCAAAGAGAGAAAAAACTTCTGATGTATGTGAAAATGAATGTGAAGACTTATAGCATGAATTTAAAATGTAGGTTGATGCAAATCAATTAGAATGAGGCCACAAGTTAACATTGGGTATTTTCTGATTGTGACTTTAAGGACTTAAATGATAAGTTTGCCTGAGCCTCTTAGGAGCACAGTTACAGGGGCACTTTTTTCAGATTAAACAGTTCAGTTTATTGTAATTGAGAGAACCACAAAATGTAAAATTTCCTCTGTGGCTCAGGATGGACCTTTCAGGAATCTGAAAAAAGAAAAAAAAAAACCTTGATCGAGTCAGAATGATGTTGTGCTCGAGGTATAACATTTTTAATTTAATGTATTAAAATCTAACAAGTATGATTCCCAATAAAGTAAGTATTTAGAAAGCAGAGAGCTCTGTGACTAAAAACCAGGATATTTTGACCTTTCTATATATGAACTGTTCCTAAGCTTTATGGAATCACTGTAACCTCTTTAAGCAAAGAAAATTCAATGTTACTGTCGAGCAGCCAGGATGACCTCATCCTTGAATGCTGACAAGCTCTGTTCCACATTCCACATGGCCAAGGTAACTACTGCTTGCTGTCTTTGTGCACATCTATACCAAAATATATCCAGCTCACATAGTTGCTAGCAAGATGCTTTCGCAGAATACAAGGGTCTCACAGGCCTTAAACATGTACTCATGGTCTTATGTATATAGCTAGAGTTCTACCTGAATATACAGCTGGCCTATATATCACTTTTAACATGCTTTATGCAATATTTGTGCATTGGCAATTTTAATGACGACTCTGTTGATTAAGGTGAACTTATGACCATCACAGACCTCATCCAGAAACATCTTTATCTGCGGAGGAAAACATTCTAGTCACGCACTGCTGTGGGACTGCACCTATCGTGTTTTCTATGAATGGAAAAAAAACAATAACAAAAAACTGTTTCCCAAAGATCTCTGGGCCCACTTGCAGAATGAATGTAACTGTTACTCGAGTGTTTCTGTTGTTTTTCCTGAACAGTGACAACACGGTGTAATCCCATCGATCTTGTTTGAGCCCGTGGTTGGCGATAAACGCTCGTGTTCGTTTGTTCTGCTGGAATTGTGTTCAAGGTGAGAAAACTTTCGACACAAACAACTGCAGCTCTTAAAACTGAAAGGAATAAATGTTTGGAGGACTGGAAACTCACAACCCTTTACTGACAGATGCTGGCCAACCACAGGTCCAAACTCTTTCCAATGTTTTCCTTCTGAATGTTTTACTATTTTGTGTTCATGTAAATCAAATCAGGTGTTTAATACCTTTTATTCATAGTACAATGATATTTTTGTTGATTGAGAGCTGTATATTCTACTTTGGTATGAATGTTAAGTCAAACTTTCCGAAATGTTGTTTAATATGCTTAAAAGAAACTGCAGCTTTGGCATTCATTTGCTTTCAGTTCTAATATTAAATGAAACAACTAACTGCATTAATTACAGATTTTCAAGTCATCTGAAATAGAAGTTAGCTCACCACGAACCTTGTTGTATCTAATGAACTGGCACTGCTTTTGAAAAAAAAAAAAAGGCTTTTGCTTTCTGCTACAATGTGAAACAATGAATGTTCTGCCCTGTTTTATGCTTAAATTTGCTACCACTTTTTTTTTTTCTTGACACTGTTATTTACTTAAGCACAGTGCTTCAATAAGCAACACTAGTAAAAATGAAAAGATTTCATTTTAGGCATTTATCATTTTTTGTAAGATAGGCTAAATCATTAGAATAAATTGATTAAATTATTCAAATGTTGCAGAGAATGTTTCCCTTTTTTTTTTTTTCTTTTTTGGCCTTGTTTCATGCTGGAAAGAAAATCCTAAATAGGCTACCTTTGCATTTGTTTCCCTTCAAACTAAAAGTGCTCATATCAGATAGTCTTTAAATCTGACATGTTTTGCCATTGCATGGGAGATATAGGACAGCAGCAGCAGAGGGCCCGGTCAGCAGAAAACTGCTCTTTGGTATAACAAGATGCTGCAGGCCGGGGAAGAACAAACTGTGAAACAGCTTTAAGCACGTAGATTTAGCATACCTTTTTTTTTCTTTTTTAAATCCAGTTTTAGTGTCATTTCAGTCATTTGCTCATCCATTAGAGCCTCTTCTCAACTGTTTATTTGGCTAAATGGTGGTTAGATAATCCAGTGTTCAGATGCAAAGGGCAGAATTACTGGAAATATAGGCCACTTCCAAGTGCTCATTATTGCAAGCCCAGGATTTGTAAGTTACATTAAGCTGATGTTTTTGCTGGTGCTCAGTTAATAAAAAAGCATTAACCCTGTAGATGGACTTTACAAGTACAGAGCCGTGGGTATTAGAAAGCTAGACTATCCTCTTTTATATTTTATTTCCTTTTAGAGACCCATATGCACACAAAATCGACATACTTATATAAAAAAAAAATGCTAATAATGGACTCAAGCCACACTTCTCTTCTACCCGGGGATCATAAATCCGGAGATTAGTGCAGGCTTTCCTCAGCAGTTCCTGGATTACCAGTGTGTACATTACATTAAGTTATATTTGTGCATAGTGCCTGTATGAGTATGAATACGACTAGAATGGACAAAGGAATTAGGGAATGGATACATTTATTCTGCAAGAATGGTATAGAAGCAATATATTATAGTGCTTTTTGTATACATTGTATGCATTAGTACAGCCAGGCAGGGCTAATGGGGAGCTAAGGTTGTGTCTGGGCTACTCAGAACTGGCAGAACAGAATAGGCTGTGACATAGTCTGTTATTATCCTAGACCTTATTAAGGTGACTGGTTATGTAAGTGACAGGTTGGAATTTCATCATCCTGGTTCTGGGACAGAGGGTCAGGGCAAAGTAACATCCGGAGGCAGACAAAAATGAGGCTGGATGGACAGAGAAACTGCAGGAACAACTGCCAAAAGGGATGGCAGAGGGGGATTTAGCTTTAAGCAAAGGCGTACAGGTTTGAAGGAGCAAAAAAAAAAAAAAAAAAGCTGCGAGGATGTCAGAACATGAAGAGAGATATGCAAATGCAGCTGTCAAAATGTAAATACAAATTCTGTTTAATTTTGGTTTAAAATACTATGAATTACTTTCATATTCATATTATATAAAAATTACAATTTGTGAGCATAATGAAAAACACATGTATACTTATGAAAAACGAGTGTATATAAGTCCACTAAAGTTTAACACATTAAGGAGTTCTGGGATGTAGGTTTATATGTGCCAACACTCCCTGAATTAGCAGTGTGTGCTTGTACATTTGGTCTGTGTACTCCTGCTAGTTACAGAAAAATATCACCAAATTTACAGTACAAAAGACAAAATCGCTCATAATTAAGAATGTTTAATATGTATGTTACAAATATAGTCAATGAAATAAGTTCCTACTTACAGTTGTAGTCTAATGAAGTCCTCTTAAACATCAATAGTGTAACAATATCAGCAGAGACAGTGACATGGAAACAGACCAGTTGGTTTTACCGTCGCATTACAAGGAGGTAAACCTGCCCCCATTCGTTCATCACTGTAAGAGATTTTCAGTTTATCATGCAAGTGCGTCTTGTCCCTTCTTTTTTCTGTCCGACAACCAATAAAAAAAAAAAAACAGAGGACACGAAATATTAAAATAATGACATGGAGTAACACCAGCTGTAATGATACAGTCCTTTATGATGGATAACAGATGTGAACAAAGGTGATATACTGTATATGAGTATAAATCAGTTTGAGACAAGTATGTACAACAAATTTGGTGTAACAACTGCGAAACATGTTACATTTAGTTTTTTGTTTTTTTTCTCCTGGTCCAAGCTCTGCTTTCTTTTTTTAAGGTTTGTGTGTCTACATTAAGTGCAAGTGTGCTTGTGTATATCTGGTGTGAAACACATGGGACTACAGTGCGAGCGTGTGTTCACTGAACAAATGACTGCAGTGGGGTGCTGTTACTAACAAGCCCTCTTTAAGTGCCATTTCCTGGTAGGACAGAGAGAGCCTTTTTTTTTTTTTTTTTTCTCTAACACGCCGCCATTATTCCACGATCTCCAGAGACTGGTGCCCGGAGCCAGAAGAAACTGGATCCTCCACTCTCCATGCAGCCTGCAAGCTATGTCCAGAGTTGAAATGGCTGAGCTATCTCTCTCTTGGGCTGCCCAGACGCCTGCCGCTTTGTTGGAGACAGACTGGCAGGCATGGCCCAGGGCAGGCAGGCCGCAGCAAACACTGGGAACGTATGAGCCTCATATCTTAGCCCTAGTATCCTGTGATTTATAAGACTAGAGAGTTTCCATTGTGAACAAAAAGCAGCTACGTCCCTATTCAGCAGCTGGTTAGGTACACATTTACAGCTCTGCCAACTCTTCAGAAGATTTCTTCTGTTTAAAGTGCCTCAAAAGGTTTTTGCCTTGCCGGTAAATTTTGCCTCTATGTACAAGTCCTAGATTAGTATTGACAAACTTCAGCATCTCCTGTACAAATGTGTGATGAACAGTTAAATGGACATAAGAGCAGATTCTACCCTGACCACATATGTTTTTTACCTTTGTACCTTTCAATAGTGGTTCAGGATTTGAGACATCAACTGAAAGGCTCCATGGGGTTGTGAAAGCTTTCATTTTCTTTGTTGGATTCCAGGAAATGTTGAAAGGGTGGATAAACCCCTAAACCAGCGTCATTTACATCTTCAGGTGTCCCTCGGCCAGTGCATCCTCATGTGGAAATATTCTCGGTTTACTCCATCCTTCTAGTTAGAGTTAGTTCCATGAAAACAACACTGTCTTCCTTTAAAGAGAAATTCCACTTTGTGATGAGAAGCTTCCATGGTTAAGATGATTCAGTTCCGCTGTTACGAAGTTTGTCCCCTTCAGTCAGTCAGTTTGTGAACATAGTTAACAGGGAAGGTGCCGCTTCGGGATGGTTCCCCTTCTATGTGGCCAACCTGTTAGGAAAAGGAATGATTAAATGTTTATAATGAAAACACATATGGAAAGTCCATGACTGTGTGTGAAATCACTCGCTATTTACTGAGTAACATTTAGAGTCTGCCATTTTATTTTCATTCTGAATGTGTAAATTTACGACACCCTCACAAATTCCACAATGAAACAAAAACAGAAGTGTCCATTTTACACTGCTTTTTACAAACATTCCCAAATAACAATTCAAAAACGGCAAAATGCCGGCTGCACTGACTCACCAGCTGACAGCAGCAGTGATTAATGAGCGTCAGAATCTGTGAGTTACAGACACTGCTGAGTGAACTACTAAATGTCAATTATATAAGGAGTAGTAAATAAACAGGGGGATGATGTGTTATGTATTTCACTTTACAAGTTAATCTGAAAATTGCTCCTCAAACTGCAGAGGACAGGCTGTGGTTCAGGTGGTAGAGCGGGTTGTTGATCCCCCGTCCCTCCACAGTCCAAGTGTCCTTGGGCAAGACACTGAACCCGAAGTTGCCAATGGCAGGCAGCACCTTGCATGGCAGCTCTGTCGCCATTGGTGTATGAATGTGTGTGTGAATGGGTGAATGAGAAACACTGTAAAGCGCTTTGGATAAAAGCGCTATATAAGTGACCATTTACCAGGACAGACTGTTAAAAAATGAAGAATCTGTAGTTGCACTTACCCACCAGTGGGGGTCATTAGCGGCCATGACCACAATGATTTCATCTTTGAAAAAGGCGAGCTGCTCACAGCTGACTGCTCTGCAGTCCACCAAAGCCTTGACACGCTTCTGATGTGGCCTGCTGCCAGAAACCTGGAGAAGACACGTAATATACTTCTTAGTGTGCCACCAGCAACTTTATATAGACTGTGAAATCTCTCAGGCCTTTTCCTGAGAAAAAGTCCTGAAACTGAACACTGTCACATGGAAGATTTGAACTACAGGCTGAATGCAATTCTGTGTAGTTGTACCATAGCGTTCCTGCGAGGTCGTGGTGCACAGGTCACGGCAGGTGAGGATGAAGGGGCTGGGGGGGGGCCCAAGGTCAGGCCAGTACTATTCCCAACTAAGCTGCAGTAAAGCTCCTCCTGGCTGCCCGTACAGCTCGCAGACAAAACACCACACTTTCCCTGGCTGCCTCCTCCACTGCTGGTGCGACGGTATGACGTGGTTTTCTCTGAACTGGAAAATGGCACAGACGTAACATGAAATTTCACTGATCCAAAACATTTTTTATGAATGCATTAACTGAGGACAGCTGGATAATAATAATAATTTTCTGTGTAGCAGTAGAGAGAGAGTGCCTTTTCTCACCTGACTGGTCCTATGTGATTCTGAGACCCAGAACTAGGACCAGGTTGGCCCTCCCAGGTCTGCCTCTGTGACCTGAGCAGACCTCCCTGTCCGTGGGGAGACCTAGGGGCTCTCCCAGCTTGGATGTCTGTATTGGGTGAATGCATGCTGTGTCTTGCCTGCAACTGGGGACTAGATGAGTGGGAGGCCGGGTTTGAGCAGCGTCGTGGAAGTGGGTTTCCTTCTTGTGTTGTGGTTGAAATCTGGGGATCTGAGCGACCTGAGGAGGTCAAACAGAAGATCAAGACTAACACTATACATTAGCAAAACTAACAATAATGAAGTTATTCATTTATTCAAAAACAAGCATAGGAAAAATGTCTTGCCAAGACCTAAAAAGAAATTTGAAATCTGCTGTTTGAGCTGCACTGACTTTGGAGCAAGTTATCTTTCATGCAGATAGGCTCTTTAAGGAAAACCTGACTTGATTTTATTTTTAGACAACTTACATACAGAAACTCACCTCTTTGGATGGATTTAGCTGGCAGTGGTGGTGGCATTGATGCTCCAGAAGGGGCACTATTGGCTGAAGGATTTCCATATAAGAAGTCTAGATTCTCATACGTCTGACAAGGCCTGCTACCTGCACTAGGACTGGCACCATTATTCACATTCCAGCGCGCAAAAGAAGATGTGACACCTCCATTTGAGGACGGAGGAGAACGGTTTTTGGGTAAAGGGCTCACCTAGAAGAATGTGAAAATGATCAAAATGTTAATTTCTATAGTTTATCCTCAACTATCTTTGTTTTTTTAATTTGTATTACTGCCTTCACATCGATAGAGGAGACTTGGATGGAAAGCTCCTATAATTTACATCTTCAAATGTTTCACAAGACTTTTTTTTTTTGGCTATAAGACAGCATCCTGTCAGTAATGCGCTTGATCGGGGGTAGGTGTGTTGTTTACCCTGTCATCCAGGTCGTCCTCACTGTCATAGAACTCCTGAGACTGCGTCTCCCACATGAACTCCACATGGATCTGAGAGTTGAACTTCCCATTCTGGGCGAGCTCCAACTGAAATACACAAGAGCATAAACACTCAGTAGAGTCATACCCTTTTCAAGTATTTCACACACACCTTAATTAATTAGGAACAGCTGTGATGCCTCAACTCTTTAATTTGTAATAAGATTTAACCAACTTGACTCTTTCAAACCTAATTTATTTCCATTTCTGATTTGCTGACAGGACAAAAAGGGCATGTGTGGAAGGTGTGGAAATGTGAGCTTTGGATCAGCACGTGATTCCAAAACTGAAAATGAAATGAAATGAAAAAATGAAAAATACTTTGTTTATCCCAGAAGGGAAATTCAATCTTGTAAAAGCTCACTTTTTAAAAAAATTTTTTTTTAAAATCAATATAACATATTCTATACAATCACAACAATCATTCAGTCAGTCAAATTAGTTTTTTAAGGTGATGGCTGTTGGCAGGAAGGAATTCCTGTATCTCTCCGTTCGACAGCGAAGCTGACACAGCCTCCCACTAAATGAAATTAAAATGAAAGTACATCTAAATGTAGGTTAACCTCAATGCAAGCCACAACTGACGCAGCTAGCTGGGAAATGTGGAAAATCTTATAGCAGCTTACTTGTGCAACTTTTATCAATTTCTACACAACAAGCCACACACACAATCAAACAGGACATTATACAAGGCAGGTTTGATTCAGCAGGGCAGATGGCCGGTAAGAAAATACAACCCGTTTATAAATGATACACACTGGGACCTGATGAGGATAAGATGTCTTGTCCTGGGAGAGCGTCCTCGCAGAGCTTTGCTGCACAGGGAGTTATTTCAAGGTAGTATTTCCAGCTGTCAAAGTTGTGTTGTTTTGTTTCTTTAGTTCTCTCCCTGGTAGGTATTTTAATGTTGCAACTCAATTCCTCTGTTGAACTTATCTCCTTAGAGTCTCGGCTCTTTGATTACTAGAAATAAAAGACAAAGTCAAAGGGAAATCTCACCAGCTCGATGCACTGTGCGTGTTGCAGCCTCTTGGCAACATCTAGAGCTGTCTCTCCTCCCGAGTTCACTGCAGGTGAAAGGAGAACATGAATGGTTTCTTATACGTTGCACTTGATAAAAGAGAACAACAATTAATTGAGAAAAACATGCCTGTGTGAAGGGCTGCCTTCGCTTTGAGCAGTAACTTGAGAGATTCCGGCTTGTGATGAATGACGCTGTAGTGAAGTGCCGTGTTCCCTTCTGCTGTTCTCTTCTCCAGACAGTTGCTGTAGAATGAACACACAAAATAACGTATTATTTCCAACATGCACAGCAACTGAACATGTCATTTGATAGAGCACTGAAGTTCCTTTTTCCTATAAAAACTGCGCTGGCGATCTTACTAAGTCCTACCTAGTACCATTTTCTTATCACTTTTAAAACAGCACGAGTTTGAACTGCACACAGTCCGTTAAAGGATAGACATGCACTTGCCATGGTATTTTGAGTTGTGTCAAGTGATTTAGGGCCACATTTCTTCACCACTACTGGTCCAAAAACACCTCAGAGAACAAAAGAAACAGTCTGTGTGCCAAAATACAGGCAACAAAATAAAATTCCCACAACAATAAAGCTTTACTGCAATAAAAACAGACACTAACAGCTTAAATTAATGATACTCAACAATAATAACTGTAATTTGTATTTTTTTTTTTTTTTTTTTTGCCCTGTGGGGCTTTAGCAGGAACTGAAGTTGCTTGAAGGAGTGTTTCGTCTGTGTCTATTAAATACCTGCAGCAGGATTACCCACATTTGCTCAAGTGGAACAACAGCACTGGTAACTTTAATAAATTCTTACAGTTATAAATTATTGATGACATGGAGAGTGGATCGCGCCGGGCCAGAATCTGAAGGAATGCACTGTAGCTACTTGTCTTCAAAAGGTAAGAAAGGTGATCTGTCACACACACTTGCAGTTTAGTTTGTTTTTCCAGCTGTTCAGGACTATTTCCTCTGAGTTTATTAAACATCTGCAGCAACAGGATACATACGAGTGTCTCCAAAGCGAGAAGCTTGCACGCATTTATGCACAGAAAAGCATCAATAACATTATTAATTAGTTTGAATTACAAATTATTCCAAATATAGAGACAGGGTCAATCAGGGTCTAATCTAGGAAGTCACACTGCTTCTTTTTTTCACCTCAGACAGGTGAGCTGTTACACAGAGTCATAGTTTATAAGCGACACTTAAATCATTCATTACCTTCATATTAAGCTTCTTTCAATTTACTTTTTCTTTTTTTTTTTTT